TAGAGTTCCTCTAATAAAACAGTTACAGTACAAGGCGTCCCACTTATAGTAATCTCGTAATCCTTACCACTATACAAATAAATAAAAAATAAAATAAAATTTGATTTCATCCATTACTAGTTATCATGTAGAAGATGGAGTATATCAGTTTGGTCGAAGACGTTGGTTGATGTCTCAAGTTCATGTATAAGGTCTTCTAGTGCCAGGGTAGCCATTAGCGATCTCTCTCTTCTCTCCTCCGGTTTGGGAGACTCTCTTGAGGAACGGAGGAACCTGCCACCCGAGTAGCTTTGACGACGAGTGGACCAACCTTTAGCGACCACCAGGTGACGCAGAGAAGGAGATACTAAAAGGGAAAGGGACGTGGAAATACATGTGCATGTAGCAGGCACTCAAGAGGGTATGTACAAGTATAAACATGTCTTACGTGAGATTGACATTTCTTGTTTCTTTTCACCGGCAGGTGTAGCCCTGCTCTTCTTGACCACACCTCCAATTGGACTAGAATCAGAATATGTTCTCTAATTGATGATAATAATAATAATAATAAAATATATGGGTGTGGCAGGCTTACAGGTCTTTCCAGCTCTGTGTCGTCAGCTGGAAGGATTGAGACAGTAGAACGTCTGGGGGTGAGAACATTCCTGGACCAAATAGCTGACGTACAAAAAATAAAAATATAATTCACACCAATTACATTTACTGTACATGTATTAACTTACACGATTGGACATTCTCAAGGAATGTCATATTAATTTCGCAACACGTGCTGAGAAAATCAGAAAAATTGCCCAAGTGCAACCTAAAAATTAATAACCATTATTAACTACTAGCCACACCCCCAGACAGACCCACCTAACACCATTCATGTAACCACTGTTTATGTTACGAAGGAGTTTAAAAACTGGAGACGAATCCCAAGAGTCCTCCTGGCCTAGCATTGACCACAGGATCGGTAAAATTAGTAGAGGACAACCCATCAACTTCCAATTAGCCTAAACAAGGAAAAAACATGTATATGTACAGCAAAACAAGATGGCGTACTTTAAGGTATGATAAATCGGTACTAATTACGTCCACCAATAGCTCGTTGTCAAGTGATAGATAAAACGTCTCTTGATCTAAAAACTAATAACCACGCCCTTTATAATAACCACGCCCAAACACGCCCACTCACACTTGGATAGAAGGCGTAAAGTTTCCCGTGGAGGGAATAAAGCATGCTGGTGCTTAGGACCCCAATGATCTTCTTGTATCGACCAGTTAGTCCCATTTTACTATTTCTACCTAAAAAGAAAGACAATATATGGCTAAATGTACATGTACATTCTGTAGTAGCTACACTGTATATGTGTACATGTACATGCAGAATAAGTCAACAAATTTTATATGATAATTCAAAAACTTGAAGTCGGAATGGGCTCAAACTTTCTACATGGCATAAGGACATCAATATGTATCAGAAAATGCAATAAAAATTGGGGGTCATTTTGGAGCCATTTTTTGGAAAAAAACCATGGGCTATAGTACAGGGATTTTTTTAAAAACTAGCCAATTTTTGAAAATGGCCATAACTTGAAAAATTGAAGTCGGAATCGACTCAAACTTTCTGCATAGCATAAGGACATCAATATGTATCAGGAAATGTAATAAAAATTGGGGGTCATTTCGGAGCTATTTTTCAGAAAAAACCATGGGCTATAGTACAGGGTATAAATATACCTAAGTATTGATATGCTTCTCCTAGTAGTTTAGCTGGTAAAACTGTAACCATTTCGCCGTGTGCTCTTGCCTGTCCAAAAGAATTCAAAGTCTGTGTCGATATGCCATTATTCTTTAACTGGGAATGCAATTCCCTGTCTTCAGCCAGTAACACCACTGAGTAAGGAGGAGGAGAGAATTTAAAGGAGAAAGAGAGTGAGAGAATAAAAGAGGGAATAAAACCAACCAACCATACATGTACATGTACATGTACTGTCTGTAGTAAACAAATCCTCTCTATCTCAACTTAAATTCATCCAAATTTGTCCTTCATCTTTATCTCTCTCCCTCATCCACCCCCTCTCTCTCTTTCTCTCTCTCTCTTCTTCAATACCTTGTACTAATGGTTCTGGTTTGGGTAGTGTACAAAGTCTTCTGTTTAATGGATCAATCTCACCTATATTAACTAGCCCTTCCTACAATAATAATAATATAAATCACAAACATCATGTAGTACTTAATACCTTCAAGTATTACCCGTATACAATTACTACAGAATGTCTCATTATGCCGTATATGTACATTTAAAACAACTATTTTGACTACACAAAAGCTAAATTTAGTAATTCTTTCATCCATGAAATTTAATATGGACCAACACACCTTTACTTATTAAATCAACCATACTCACACACATTAACACAGTAGTACACGCCCACTTACGTAATTACACGTATATACAAGTACAAGTACATG